CATTTCTCCGCCGTCAGAATGAACCGCTGCTGCTGCCACGGGAAGAAGTCAGCCACGTCCACCCCGGAAGCCCGTCTGCCTCTGTCCTGCCCGGCTCCGGAACTCTGCTCCCAGTGCGGCACTGCGGGGACCCGTCCTGGCTCGGCCACCAGCCACAGTAGCCTGCGGTGCTCCTGCAACCTTCTGGGGAGCTGAGACAGGTGGTCCGGAAGGTCACTAAGTTTAAAATTGTCAGTGCTTTTACACTGTGTTGTGTGAGTTAACACAGTTCTCATTCAAAGCGCCCGAACGGGGGGCATTCTTCCACCCCTGCGGGGAACCCCGACTCCCTTCACGGAGACCTTGGCTGTTCCCTGTTCTCATGGGCTATGACCACCTCTGCAGAGGCGACATCAGCCTGTGCACCTTCCGCCAGTCCCACAAAGCCAGGGACGTCCTCCTTTGGGTCCCCCGCCCGAAGACTCATTCTGACCTGGTGCCCCAGGCAGGTGATGAGGGAGGAACGGGAGAAGCAGAGGGGCCCACAGGCTTTACTCGCAAAAGGGCAGAACACTGCCGAGCACGTGGAAAGAGACAATCCAGAAAGCGAGCGGAGGGGTGCAGGAGGCAGGACCGCCGGCCGCCTAGCCGGGGAGCCGGGGAGCCGGGGAGCTGGGGAGCCGGGGAGGGGTGCAGGGCAGCCATGAAGTGGAGATGGGAAGAGGATCCGAAGGAGTCTGCTCTGAGTCAGCCACGGAAACTTCCTTGAGCTCTGGCCGTGAAAACCTAGTAGATATTTAATTTGTTTTTCAATTAACTCTGGGGTCCTATTGTGCCGAGACGCCGGGCATGAGTCCCTGGGAGAGGACGGCGGGTCACCGCTCCGACGTGCTTCGGTTTGCAGTCCTGACGTCTCCACCTCTGGGCCCGCAGTCCCAACGTGTGCAGCGCTCCCGTAACCGAGGGTCTCCCGCCCACACGTCCGCCCGGAGGCCGCCGCAGCGGCTCCAGCAGGCTGTGGGGAGGCCACGGGGCCTGTGCTCCCGGGCTGCGCGGTTATCCGTCAGATGTGTTGACCAGGGAAACGTGGCGGCAACAGAAACCATCTGAAGACCTAATTATGCCCGTGCCTTTTTAAAAAGTTATGATTTCTTAGGCAACATATCTTCCTAAAATAACACTTCCCACATGTCAGTCTCTTGCTCACAGTTCCCTAGTATCTCCATTGCCAAAAACAAAGCAAACCAAAAATAAAAACGCTGCAGCTTGGCAGTGGCTCCCGCTAAGGAGGCGCGAGCGCTCTGAATCGTCTCTGTAGCTGGATTCTGCACGTCGGCGTGACCCCAGCTACTGTGGCAGCGGGTCACTCAGCGGGCCGCCCTCGCTTTCAGAAGTCAGCGTGCAAGTGCAGAGCCCTCGACTTAGGTTCCTGTGACATATCCAGGCCCACATTCATGAATACAGTGAATTTAAAAATCACTTTCAAGGAGCCTCTGTGTTTGGTTCTGTTTATTAACATGTTGAACTGAGCTCCTTTAAAAACGACTTTTTAAAATTTTATATATTTGATAACCCTTTTTAAAAAATGTGCTTTATTCATATTAAGGCAGGTTACTTTCTTTTTTAAGTCCTCACCCAAGGATAATTTTCCATTTCTTTTCAGACAGAGTGGGAGGGAGAGAGAGAAGGAAACATCGATGTGATAGAGACACATCGACTGGTTGCCTCCCGTACGACCCTGACCAGGGCCGGGAACCGAACCACAACCAAAGTACATGCCCTTGACCAGAATCGAACCCAAGACTCTGTGCTCTGCAGGCTGACGCTCTAGCTGCTGAACCAAACTGACCAGGGCTGTTTTAAATCCCTTTTAAGTGCCTCAGCTAACAAACGGAACCTCAAGTTCTTAAGTAATCATTCTTGAAGTGAATTAAACTTATAAACATAGGAATGGTATCTTAAATGTCAGCTTATCCCTTTTAAATCACTTATTCAATCGTACTTTCCGTCAAAATCAGGAGCTTAATTTACTCTTTAGACCAACTAAACTAACTCCACACGTACTTTATCATCAGATTATTTCACATGTTGTTACCATGGCTTGGATTCTCTCAACGTGTCTGCACTTGGTTCCAACCCTTCCTGGGCTAAAGGTGCACCTACCCAGGGAGCACCTTGAGGACGGCACCTTCCCCCAGGTCTGAGGGCTCACTGTCAGCCTGAGCCTGGTCCCATGGCAGCTCTGTCGGGTCCTTTTAATGTAGCTCACATCCCATGGGCCCCGTATCAACTTACATTCCCCAAGTCCTCCACTCCCTTCGGGCAGGCCACCTGCACCCCAGCCCTCTGCTGTCCACTCCCTCCGGGCAGGCCACCTGCGCCCCAGCCCTCTGCTGTCCACTCCCTCCGGGCAGGCCACCTGCACCCCGGCCCTCTGCTGTCCACTCCCTCCGGGCAGGCCACCTGCGCCCCCGCCCTCTGCTGTCCACTCCCTCCGGGCAGGCCACCTGCACCCCGGCCCTCTGCTGTCCACTCCCTCCGGGCAGGCCACCTGCGCCCCCGCCCTCTGCTGTCCACTCCCTTGGGGCAGGCCACCTGCACCCCAGCCCTCTGCTGTCCACTCCCTCCGGGCAGGCCACCTGCACCCCGGCTCTCTGCTGTCCACTCCCTCCGGGCAGGCCACCTGCGCCCCGGCTCTCTGCTGTCCACTCCCTCCGGGCAGGCCACCTGCGCCCCCGCCCTCTGCTGTCCACTCCCTCCGGGCAGGCCACCTGCCGACCCCCGCCCTCTGCTGTCCACTCCCTCCGGGGCAGGCCACCTGCGCCCGGCCCTCTGCTGTCCACTCCCTCCGGGCAGGCCACCTGCGCCCCGGCCCTCTGCTGTCCACTCCCTCCGGGCAGGCCACCTGCGCCCCGGCCCTCTGCTGTCCACTCCCTCCGGGCAGGCCACCTGCGCCCCGGCCCTCTGCTGTCCACTCCCTCCGGGCAGGCCACCTGCGCCCCGGCCCTCTGCTGTCCACTCCCTCCGGGCAGGCCACCTGCGCCCCGGCCCTCTGCTGTCCATTCCCTCTGGGCAGGCCACCTGCGCCCCAGCCCTCTGCTGTCCACTCCCTCCGGGCAGGCCACCTGCGCCCCCGCCCTCTGCTGTCCACTCCCTCCGGGCAGGCCACCTGCGCCCCGGCCCTCTGCTGTCCACTCCCTCTGGGCAGGCCACCTGCGCCCCAGCCCTCTGCTGTCCATGAGACCGGGCTCCAGGGCCTAGTCACGCCCAGCCCCTTCTGCTCCGTGAGGCTGGTCCCGATGACTCCCGGTACATGGGTTGCGTGGTAGGGATGCCAGATTAAAGGTCCCGAGTGGGGCAGACACTAAGTCGGCTGAAATTCAGACTTCACTGGAGTTCTGCGCTCGTATCAGCTCACTCTGGCCCATTGCCCTCCGGTCGCAGTTCACCGGATGTGCGTGGCCGATGACAGCGACAGTGATGTCCGCACCTTCCTCCCAGTCGTCCGAGTCCAATTCGTCAGCCCCTCCCCCCGGGGTCACTCTCCTTGCCCTTATTTCTGTGTCTAATAAAATTTATTTTTTAAATTTCATATGTATTTGTTCACTCTATTGTTTAAAATGAAACATTCCTCTATCCTGCAGAAAACAAAACAAACTACCTTCCTCCTAAACGAGGGACACAGCCCCCCCCAAACTACCTTCCTCCTAAACAACGAGGGACACAGTCCCACCCCCCCAACTACCTTCCTCCTAAACAACGAGGGACACAGTCCCCCCCAAACTACCTTCCTCCTAAACAACAAGGGACACAGTCCCCCCCCAAACTCTTCCTCCTAAACAACGAGGGACACAGTCCCACCCCCCCAACTACCTTCTTCCTAAACAACGAGGGACACAGTCCCCCCCCAAACTACCTTCCTCCTAAACAACAAGGGACACAGTCCCCCCCAAACTCTTCCTCCTAAACAACGAGGGACACAGTCCCACCCCCCCAACTACCTTCCTCCTAAACAACGAGGGACACAGTCCCCCCCAAACTACCTTCCTCCTAAACAACAAGGGACACAGTCCCCCCCAAACTACCTTCCTCCTAAACAACAAGGGACACAGTACCCCCCCAAACTCTTCCTCCTAAACAACGAGGGACACAGTCCCACCCCCCCAACTACCTTCCTCCTAAACAACGAGGGACACAGTCCCCCCCAAACTCTTCCTCCTAAACAACGAGGGACACAGTCCCACCCCCCCAACTACCTTCCTCCTAAACAACGAGGGACACAGTCCCACCCCCCCAACTACCTTCCTCCTAAACGAGGGGGACAGTCCCCCCCACAAACTACCTTCCTCCTAAACAACTAGGGACACAGTCCCCCCACAAACTACCTTCCTCCTAAACAAGGAGGGACACAGTCCCCCCCAAACTTTTCCTCCTAAACAACGAGGGACACAGTCCCACCCCCCCCAACTACCTTCCTCCTAAACAACGAGGGACACAGTGCCCCCCAAACTACCTTCCTCCTAAACGAGGGGGACAGTCCCCCCCACAAACTACCTTCCTCCTAAACAACTAGGGACACAGTCCTCCCCACAAACTACCTTCCTCCTAAACAAGGAGGGACACAGTCCCCCCCAAACTTTTCCTCCTAAACAACGAGGGACACAGTCCCCCCCCACAAACTACCTTCCTCCTAAACAACTAGGGACACAGTCCCCCGCCCCAAACTACCTTCCTCCTAAACAACTAGGGACACAGTCCCCACCCCCCACAACAGACCAGTCCTGGACGCTGACCCGCTGCACCCATCTGGGCTGCCCTAGAGGTGGGGTTTGTCTGTCTGTCTGTAAGCTCCCTGCGGGCAGAGGACCGCGGAGCCTCCCGCCCCCTCGGCTGTGGAGCGGAGCTGCTGGCCCAGCCCGGCCCGGGACACAGGGCGCCTTTGCTAAGCGACCACAGCGCGGACCCAGCGGGTGGGGGAGGGCCGAGGGCCGGCAGGCGCTGCGGCGGGCGGGCGCCCTCACCTGGCATGATGGTCTTCCTGCACTCCTGGCAGCGGGACGAGTACTCGTGGGAGTAGCAGGCTGTGCAGAGCAGCTGGTCCTCCTTGGCGGCGAAGGGCTTGTCCACCAGCGAGCTCTTGCACCGCGAACAGTGGAAGCAGGCCTCGTGCCAGTGCCGGTCCTTGTAGGACAAGTCCTGCGGACCCAGAGCACACAGGACAGTCAGGCGGGCGGCTCAGACTGCTCTCTGCCCACGGTGGGGGGCACCGTGCACATCTGTGAGGCGAGGAGCCAGGAGCTGAGCCCTGCGGGCATTCCTGATGACCACCCAGTGCTCAGGGTCAGGTCCAGCTGCTGCATAGACAGGGCTGGGGATGGGAGGGTGGGGGAGTGAGGGGGGTGATGCTTTGAAAAACAAATGGATTTCCCTTAGGCATCACCTATAAGATAGAGACCGAAGACCTGAAACTCTTCTCACTCAACAAACAGCCTTCGGACCGGCAGGCGTCCTTGGACGATGGCAGGATCCCTGTGAGGCCCGGAGGGGAGAGAAGCCCGGGGCGCAGGGACGGTCAGGAGAGGAGCCCCCAGCACGGAGCCCTGGCTTAACCCGGCGGAAAGCGAGCCAGGGGACTCACATGGCAGTCCCAGCAGCTGAGTGCGGAAGCCACGGAGGGCAGGGATCTGGGCAGGGATGAGGGCAGGGATCTGGGCAGGGATCCGGGCAGGGAAAGGTGTGTGCTCGGCCGATGCCGGAGTGAGCTGTTTGCTGGAGCTGGAGCTGGGCTCCGGGGACACGCGGGCCAGATGGGAGAGTCCCGCTCAGGCTGGACCGGAGGGCCCTCTAAAGGTCTGCGTGCAGTTTCCGGGTATCCTGCAGGCAGTGGAGAGGGGCACGCTAAGACTGTGACAGGCGGATAAGGAGGGGGAGGGGGTGGGGCGAGGGGCGAGCGGAGGGGAGGGGACGGGGGTCTGGTCTGTGGGAAGAGCAAGTAGGGAGCAGATGGGACAGGCTCTGAGAGGACAGAACCCACACGTTTTAGCACAGGGTGAAACAGAGAAACGAGGCCAGGAAGGAAAACTGCAGATCTGCGCTGCCCCTGGTCTTGCCTGAGGAAAAGTGAGAAGTCCTCACACTGGGCTGTTGAGATGGCTTTGGGCATTCTGAAAGCACGGTAGTGATACGAAATTAAAATGACCCACTTACATCCAGCTCTACCTCAACAGGATGATTTTTCTGTCGTTTCCTGTATTCCCAGCTCTGACCTAGACCCAGCATCCATTTATTAATGAGGCAGAAGCAGAACCTGCGGCCACACCCTGGCCTTGATTAGAAAGACCTAAAACACCCACTCAACTCGGACCCAAACTAGGACAGACAGTTCTCTTTAGGGAAATGCCGCTGTCTGCGTGTTTCCCCAGAATCTGGAACCAAAGCTATCTGATTGGGAGCTCTCTTGGCACATTGTATAAATTCAGGGATTTAAAGAAGAAGTCTCATTGTCAAATGCCTATGAAGACAGCTGGGGAACCGGAGGGGGGGGCCCGTGCGGCTCCTGCTCCCGCTTGTCCTGCCAGCAGCTTGCTTTGCAGGACACCGGGGCCGACGGAAGGTAGTAGGAATGAAGGTGAGACAGTCATAGTTTTCTCTATGCAGGACTTAATGGCCTTGTTTCTGCGAGGCTGGTTCTCCCCCGAGCCCCAGCAGCCCTGGGGATCGGGGCTCCTCCAAGCTGGCCCCCCTCTTGGGACCAGGCGGCAGCAGGCTGAACTGCCGACCCACCACAGCGCGTGAACTGGGGCAGAGACTGTCCTGCCTCCTGACTTTCTAGCCTCAAGTATTTTCAGAAATTTGGGGGAAAAACCATCTGCACTTTACCTCTTATTCTGACAAACAAAGAAGATAAAAACTGCATTCTGTCGTGTGAGTAACTACATACTCAAAATCATCACAAACTGCAATGCCCACACTTTGCATGCATCCCTCCTTCCAAAAGGAATCATTACTGTTCTCTTCCTGGGATGACAATCGCGAGTGTGCAGTGAGGTCAGGCTGTGCGGCCTGCGAGGTGAACAGGACACGGGGGCCCGGAGACGCTGTTACCTGCCCAGCCACACCTGCAAACGCTGTCTCCAGGGGAGACACCAGGCAAAACCCTCACACGCCATGTTGCTCTTTGCTTTTACAATCTGTCCCCTTAGTAAGAGCTGTGTATATCCACTGAAAAAAGTTAGAAACAGTTCTCTATGTTACAGACAAAGGAACGCAACTTCCCACCGCCGGGGCTTAGACGTGGACGGGGTGGAAGGAGCCCTCCCGGCCTGTGCGGGCAGAGCAGCGCAGCCCGGCTGAGGAAGAGCCGCGGACTTCGACCACGCCGTCGCTGTTGTCGGGCTGGTCGCGGGATGACTGCGTTACAATTATTTTGGAATGGAAAACAGTGTGGCCGTTCCTCAAAATGTTAAAAATAGAACTCCACCTGAGCCAGCAATCCCAGCTCTGGACGTGTGCCCACAGGAACGGAAAGCAGGGATGTGGAGACCCAGGCGCACACACAAGCAGGACTCCACCGATGGGCGAACGGAGAAACACAGTGTACGGACACGTGCAGGAAAGAAAGGAATTCTGACACGTGCCGCACCACGGGCGAACCCTAAGCCAGACACACAGACAAACACTACGATTCCACTCCCGAGCGCCCTAGAGCCCTCACACAGACGCGCAGGGCGGTGGTGCCCGGGCTGGCGGAGGAGGTCGGAAGAGTGGTTTGAAATGGGTGCAGCTTCAATGTGGGGAGATGAACAGCCCGAGGTCTGTTTTACAACGTGAATGTACTTAACACTGCCGAACTGCACATTTCAATGGGTTGGATGGCACATTTCATATCCCGCCTATTTCACCACACTTGAAACATTAAGTAGTAAGTTTGGATTGTTACGTAGCAGGTGAAAACACTTCGCAGGCGTCCGCTGGGTCCCCTCTGGCAGTCACCCCAGGAAAGCTGAGCCGTGGCGTCCACGGTCAGGGCCCACCTGCCTTCGGGGACAGCGGCGGAGCGGGCGGGGGCGCGGGGAGGCCACGGCCGGCTCCCTGCAGATGGTCTCCTGTTGCCCAGGGAGGCGGCACCACGCCGTCGGGGCTACAAGTTGTCCGTGAAAAGAGAAGGTTGAGGCTGAAGGTTGAAGGTTGCCTGTTGGGCTGAGCTGAAGGAAAACAAGGGAGGAACCGCACAGAGGCCTCGTGAGGTGGACCTTTGACACTAGGAAGTGTCCCTGTCAACGTGGGTGCTACTGACAAGTCCTCACTGGACCATGAGCATCGATGACGTCCAGACCTGCTGAGGGCCGTGCTTCCTGCGGCCGCTCCTGCTCTCCGCACCGGCCTCCGCAGCCGCTGCCTTCCTCCAAATGAGCCGATTCACCCTCCAAACCCAGGGGTGGTTTGGCCATTCCGCCGGGGCTCGGCCTGGGAGCGGCCCTGCCCTCCAGGCTGGTGGAGCGCAAGCCTGTGAGCGCTGCCCCCCCCCCCCGCTCCCCCAGGGGCCTCGCCACCCCAGCACACCTCTCGTGGGGCCGCCCAACTTGCCCGCAGCTCCTCTCTCCATCTAGCCCCCTCTCTTGCATGCACTGGCACACACATCTCTCTGCATCAACACAAAATAGTTCCTGAATTATTCATTCACAGATGTTTGATCATTTCCAAACCTTCAGACAAAATATCTTTCCTGAAAATAAACACTGACCTATGACCGTGCTCTTAAGTTTCATAGTATGCAATAAATAAAAAGTCTTTAAACGAGCTTGGTCAGTGTTGGCGGTGGGTCCTCTGGCGGTATAACTGCTCCCCTCTGTTCTGGCTGCAGACGGTGGTCAGCTTCCTGGCGCCCACTTCGGAACAGCTGCAGCAAGCAGGCAGGTGGGAAGCCGGAGTCACTCACACCTGCTGTAGCACTAGGGCGCCTCTGGATGCCAGGGCAGGTGTCCGAACACCTGATGTAGTTCATCCTGCTGCTTGAACTCTAGGCTCTAGATTCAAATTCTACCTCACAGATACATGACTACAGGCAAGATATTTAGCCTCTCTATGCCTCAGATTTCTCACTTGTAAAGTAGCAATTATAGTAGCTATCACTGCCCTGGCTGGTGTGGCTCAGTGGATAGAGCATAGGCCCAAACTCAAAAGGTTGTGGGTTCGATTCCCGGTCAAGGGCACGTACCTGGGTTGCAGGTTCGATCCCCATCCCCAGTCAGGGAGTATGCGAGAGGCAACCAATTCATGTGTCTCTCTCATATCGATGTTCCTCTCTCTCTCCCCCCACTCTCCCTCCATTCCACTCTCTCTAAAAAAAAATCAATGGGAGAAATATCCTTGGGTGAGGATTAACAAAACAAAATTTTAAAAAAAGCAGCTACAAAGATGGAACGAGTTAATGAGTTGTTACATGTAAGGCATTTTAACACATACGAAGTTCCCAGTAAAGCAGACACAACAAGCATATACAGCTGGGTTTACTGCAGTTGCTCGGTTAACTAGTATTAGCTTTCATAGCGCTCACAGCTAACGAGGAAAACAGGTGCCGGGAAGCGTCACCTGCAGGCGTCACTGGCTGGATTACGCGTACTCACGGAGATGGCGACACGGGCTAGGATGTCCCCCTAAGTCTCTGGTGCTAGACACTACCACGCTACTTCTGCACAGTGCTTTTAATTTCCTCAGTCTTTTATTTATTTTTTTATCCTCACCTGAGGACATTTTTGCATTTATCTTCAGATAAAGCGGGAGGAAGAGAGGGAGGAAGAGAGAGAGAGAGAAACATTGACGTGAGAGAGACACATCGAGTGGCTGCCACCCACACAACCCCAACCGGGCCGGGACAAACTGCAACCGAGGTACGTGCCCTCAGTGGGAACCGAACCCTGGACTCTCTGGTCCACAGCCTCTCTGGACTCTCTAACCGCTGAGCCAAACCAGCCAGGGCTCCTCAGCTCCTTTAAATCTAAAATTCTTTTTCCAAATCCCTTCTTACCTATTCTGAGCCATGCAATACCCTACACTATAAGGTTTGATTCTTATTTCATATGTGAGCAAATGTAACATAATGATGCTAAGAGCCCATGAACTACATCTTCTCTAACAGTCAGCCTTCAGCGACCCGACAGAACCAGCGCGAGTTTTTCTCAGGCTTTGCCTGCACG